GACACCATTTACTCATGCCACACCTCAGCAGACACACTTGTGGTATAGATTATTATACTGTACATGTAGTAATCCAATTTTACCTGACCAGATGCGTGACTATTAATAATCCCGACTACGTATCTGCGCTGGATATCACCAGCCCGCCAGGCGCCTTGTAGGCGGAGCCTGTATGTCCGTTATAGCAGAACAGAACTACAGCTAAAAGTGGCCCTGGGGACCAAATTGTTTGTCCGTTATAATCGAAATTCCGTCATATGCGAGTCCACTACATCCGATGCTTTTTCTGCTTTTTCTTAAAGGCGCACAGCCGGGACCAGCGGACATCGTCCGTTATAGACGATATTCCGTTATAAGCGAGTCAAATATAACGGGGTTTTACTGTATGTAATCAACAAACTCAGTCAATTTAAGAATACAAGAAAGCATAAAAAAGCACAATTTCGAGGAAGTAAAGATTTTCAAATACAAGTTCCTTATATGTAGGCCTACATATATTTTACGTTGTTTTAAAACGTGTGTGTTTCTGTCTCAACAGTAGGGGGCGCAAATGTTTCCCTCTAAAATTGCCTAGGCTAAAGTGTATCCTGTTACGATGCTGTCTGGGGCAGGACAGAAAGTGGGCAGATTGATGTGAATATAAGGACAGTCAGAATGAGAGAGGGAGGTGGAAGTTCTATAGGTGCCGTCACAGTGACCTGATCGCCTGTCACTCGGCCCGGCAGGCTGGACTGCTGCTCTTGTATGCATACACAACCACATACGATCAGTATGTCGCCAAGGGTGGAGATCCCAGCATGGCCATCATGCTGCACTTCGTCCACAACATGGTAAACCCCCGAGCTCTTCACGCACTACCAAACCTTCCCAACATGAATATCTTCTGAAGGTTTTCAGTTATCGGTGTTGAAACATATGATCACGCTGTGTTACGGAAATGTACACCTTCTGGCAGCCTGGCCAAAACCCACATTTAATTTAGCCAGTGTTGAAGTGCATTTTCTCAGAGCAATGTGTCAAAAACGAGTACAGGAATTATGTAGAACAAATGTTTCCTACAATTTAAAATGCAGGTTTTTTACACATTACAGCAGTGTTTTACAACCTTGGGGTCGCGACCCCACGTGGGGTCGCCTGGAATTCAAATGGGGTCCCCTGAAATGTCTAGTAATTGATAAAAAAAAATACTGATAAAAATATATTTTTTTCAACTAATTATTATTCTTTTAAAAATAATGATTAAAACATCACATACAATCTTAAACAACTGTATTCTTTCACGTTCATAAATATCGGCGCCGATCTAGACCTATTTGACAGATCGGGTCGGGCCATGCATGACCGATCCACGTCCTATACTTATTTAGTTTTTGGCAATCTCTAAAAAGATTCATGTTAA